CAGGGCCAGTGAGTGGCGGCTCCTGAGTGTCTGTGCCAGATTATCCATGTGTGTGGGGCCGATGAGTGATGGCCCCTGAGTGTCTGTGCCCTGGACACGGGATGGGAGGGGCTCTCCCATCTTCTCTGTGCGTGGCTGTGCCTGAGCCCCTCCCCATGTCCCCTCCGCACCAGGTCCCTCTGCCAGGCCTACCAGTTGAGTGGCAGTGGCTGGACCCTGTGCCCAGGGCTGGTCCAAGTAGATTGCCAGCTCCCTGAGCAAAGACTTCATATTCTGTTTTTAAAAGTTATATATTGAATATTAACAAAGAGGGTACACACCACATGTAAAGTGTGAAGAATAGTTTTAAGATATTCTGTTTGGTTTTTTTCTTTTTCTCCTGTACGCTTTGTACAGTGTCTGAACAGTAATAAACGATTGTTGCAATGAGTGTGATGATGTCAGATAACTTAGAGAAAGATGCGCAGGCCATTCTTGGGCTGCGAGAGCAGGGGGTTCTCTCTTCCCTAAGTGCTTTTGTCTGAAGCTAGAACAACTCCGGGACTAGATACGTTAACTTTCAGGGACAGTGTGTATATCCCATATTTCCGTAACAGGACATGAAATTTCTCCCCCAGGACTTCTCTTTTCTTTTCTTTCTTTCTTCCTTCCTCCCTTCCTCCTTTCTTGTTATATTGATGTATAGTCGATGTACAGGGTTGTGTTAGTCTCTGGCGTACAGCATGGGGATTTAGTCACACACACACACATTCTTGTTCATCGTAGGTTATTACAGGGTACTGACTATAGCTCCCTGTGCTGCACAGTGGAACCTTGTTGTTACCCATTTTGTATGTAGTAGTGAGTGTCTGCAAGTCTCAAACTCCTAACGTACCCCTTCCCCCTCTCCCTTAGAGCCTGTAAGTTAACGACACTGCCCTTCTCCTGGGCGATCTAAGGGAAGCGAGGTTGGTGTCTCGAAAGCTCACCAGGAGAGCTGAGCTCTCTGCTCAGCCCCTCTGCCGCTCCCGATGACATTCAGCCGGTCACAGTGAGGTTTCCCTCTCGCAGTGTGTCACTAACTTGACAGAAGCAGGAAAACAGGACTCCTCGCGGCTTCTTGACCTGGTTCTCTCTCTGTTCAAGGTGCTTCAAGATGGGCCCCTGTGTGAGGAGAGGGTGGTGAGCCTCGTGCCTTGACTCGGCCCCGCTGCCTCTTTCTGTCCCACAGTGAAGCCCGGCCTGCCGGTGCTGCGAGCACGTTTCTCCGAGATCACCGCCCGCGCTGTCCAGGTGGCCTGCGAGAACCTGACGGAGCCCGACCAGAGAGTCAGCGACGCCGTGGACGTGAGGCAGGAGCTGGACCTGCGGATCGGTGAGGGGCGGTGGGCCGGGTGGGCGCAGGCTTGGCGGAGCAGCTGACTTTGACCTTGCCATCTGTCCTCTCCTCCCTCCCTCCCTTCTTCCCAGGGGCCGCCTTCACCAGGTTCCAGACCCTGCGGCTGCAGAAGATTTTCCCCGCGGTGTTGGCGGAACAACTGGTCAGTTATGGCAGCTGCCAGTTCCCCACCCTGGGCTTCGTGGTGGAGAGGTTCAAAGCCATCCAGGCGTTCGTGCCAGAAACCTTCCACAAGATTAGAGGTGAGACTGGTCGTGGTGCAGAACCCGAGGACCTGGGGTGGCGAGGCTCAAGGGGTGTCCTGGGCACTCGTTCAAAGTGCGGTCTGAGCCTCACTGCCCTCCCCCCCATCACCATGTTCAGAATCCCCTTCAAGTGTCCACAGTGGCCTCCCCAGTTTCACGGTTCTTGGCTTTGACCATGACAGACCTTTTCCTCTGAGCCACGGCCTTCCTATGTCTCCCATACAGTGACTCACGACCATGAGGACGGGACGGTGGAGTTCAGCTGGAAGAGGCACCGTCTCTTTAACCACACGGCGTGTCTCGTCCTCTATCAGCTGTGCATGGAGGTGAGGCCTCCCGTGGCTCCCCTGGCCACACCTGCCGTCTGTTGGCAGCTGTGGTCCTGTCTCCTCTCCCGCTGAACGGTAGCCTTCAGTGTGCATCTCAGGACATCACTTTGGGGGTGCCAGTGAGTCTAGAACTGCACGAAAACAGCACTGAAGACAGGCCAGGAAAGACCTGCAGAGCTTGCAGGTAGTGCCAGAAATGCCGAGAAGCCCCTCCCCGAGGCAGTACACTCTTAGCAGTGGGGAGTACGGACCAGCCTGGACCGTGGACTCCCAGAGCCGGAGGGAGCGCGGACGGCCTCTGGCCCAGTCCCCGCCCCGGGTCAGACGATGAAACCCAGACACGGGAAGGGCGCAGCTGAGGGACCAGGTTCACGCGGTGATAAGCACTGAAAGGGAAGTGGGGGAAAGGGCCAGGGAACGGCTGGGGGCAGGGATCTGCTCTCGGGGTGACCTCTGAGTGAAGGCCGGGGGGGACCAAGACCCGCTCAGGCTGCAGGCTGGTGTCTGAGTCAC